CACCGCCTTCCCCAGGGCTGCGCTACCCGCGGGAGCGGGAAGTGCACAGGCAGGCGTCCTGCCAGCGGGGCAGACAACCGCCCAGGAAGCTCTGGTCTAGTTTATGGCAGTAGAGATGGACAGATTAACGTCACGTGTCAAAGCGCGAAGCACGTAGCCAGCTTCTGGGTACCGACTCCAGAAACAACTTTTGCTCCATTAAAATGCAACGCTCCACACCAGGTTAATGCTCATTTTCAAGTGGAAAAAGCCCTGGATTACAAATTTAACCAGTGTAGAGACTAACAAAGGATCATACAACATTGAAGGACATGTGGGACAGGAAAAAAAGAATCGTTATTTACCATTATACCTGTCACAGAGGACCCTGAACTCAAGGACCACAGAAACCTTCTTAAAAGTGCATAGGTTGACTTGGAATGTTTTCACAAGCACATAAAACAGAGCAGACTGCACCGGGTTCTCTGCTGAAATATAACGGCTGCTTTTGATACGAGAGCAGGAATAGAAAAAGCTTCTTAAGAGTCAAAGGGAGGGAACCACAACTCACAGAACAAACTGGGCACTGTCATGTCTCCGGCGCAAAACGAGGTTCTTCTCTCGCCACTGTACGAAATTCGCCAGCACATCGCCAGCACCTCCGTCCGTGCTAATTATGTTCTCGTGCTTCCAAATCTCTAGACCAACCAGCACAATGCGGATGTTCAACATGATGTACATCTGCGGGGGGGAAAAAAGGAGAAATATTTCTGAAGATCTTCCGATAAGAACAAGTGGTCTAGTGTCATGTATCTTATTGCAAGAATCTACTTTTTTCTGTTTGTTTTTTTTTTTTTAATTATTATTTTACATTATTTTAAATTTAGTACACAATTCAAATCACCAGAATGCATTTTCCTTGTGATTCAGACATTAGCTACAGGATCAATGAGAAAATCTAAAACAGAAATAAAAAAAAGTCTCAATTGACAAATAGTACCATCTGAAATAGTCAAGTTGAAAGACATCCTTTTTCTCTAACCATGACAAATACTTAAAAATTGCAATAACTGCAACAGTCTGCCTTGTGTCTCACTGTATGTAGCAGAGGTTGGAAGAGTTCCTTAAATTAATTCTCAAGTATGATGACCACAGATGAATTTAGAGGTGGAAAAGCTTTCACAGCCATGCGTTCACCAAAGCCCCATGTCAGCAAACACTGCCCCTGCTCCTCTGGCACTCCTGCAGCACAACGTGCAGGCGCGACTCTGAGTTCTACCAGCCATCAACATGATGGCCGAGGGAACAGGTTTAGCTCCTGGCTTGGTAAAAACCTTTACTCCATTCTCCCCAGAGTGGTAACAGAACAGGCTCCAAGGTAGAAGTTTGCACCAGTACACAGAGCTGCAGGGTGCTGCACACAGCATCGTTCCCACTTCCGCTCAGCGTAGCTTTCACTTACACTGTCAAGGAAGTTTGCCAGTTGCACCATGTGTTCTCTTACTTCTGTTTCACTCTTCCCGAAATCTTCAAACTGCAAGACAAAGAAACTTAGTTGTGAAGACATTAAAGACAAGAGTTAGAAAAAGGAACAAAACATTTTAAGACTAGTAACATGAAAAACATTTTTGCCTGGCTCCAAATCTCCCATCAAGAGTATGTTCATCGAGATAGCAGCATCGTCATTGCTGTGGCTCAACAGCTGAACAATCAAGAGAAAACAGCAAAGGCAGTTTTTGCCACGTGTTTTCCTTACATTATTAGATTCCTCGCTGACAAAACCTCTTCGCGTTTGACAGTTTGCTCTTTTCCTGAAGAGCACTGCATAGAACACGTTTGCTGGGTTTTAGGTCAGCGTGTTTGCACAACCTTGGCTAAAGTGTCGGTGTCTTTCCACAATCCATTTGGGAGTAACCAAGACTGAGGGCTCCTCAAGTCATCTCGTGGGGAGAAGGAAGGGAAAGCGACACACAATCCTACCTTTTCTTTATCTACAACTATGAACAGCTCCACATATCTTGTCTGATGTAGGACTGCTCTCTTTCTCTGTGGAAAAAAGTTTTACATGACTTCAATTTTGTTAATTCAAGTGTAAACAAAAAACCCCATGACATTGTCCTATTTCACTTGATACAACTAGTGCTTTGAGAGACACACCCAAAGCACACCGTGCCAAGACGAAAACAAGCCAAAGACAAGAAGTGTAATCCAATGCAATGACAATTTCTCTGTGTTTTACACTAAAATTTAGCTGCACAAAGATTTCACGTGTTTCAAAAGCCAAGGACCTTTTCACACAGGTTTCTTTGGAAAACCAGCATACACTTTTGTAAAGGAGCAGAAAGACACTAACAAGCAAAGGTCAACAGCCTTGAAGTGACAGGCCGTGTTTTCCAGACTCCAGCTTTTACTACAATCCTGTTCTTGTATGGCCAGTCTTTAAATGAAGGGGGACCTTCACACCAACCTGTTGTTCTGATGGTTCGGAGACAATATTCTCCTGGCTCCTAACGCAATACTTGGTTAATGAGCCTCTCCAGTGATGGCAGTGTTCCTGCCCTTAAAAGCCCCAAAAAGCTCTGCCCATGAATAACCCAACCAGCCACTCAACCCTCACTGCTGTGTGCAGGAGCAGAAGGAAACTGCAACTGCTTTGTTGAAGCAAACTGTGTTTTTCAGCAGTGCAGAAGGCCCTCTGAATCAGAAACCTTTAGGTATGTGTTAAACCCCAGGAAATCTGATAAGCTGCTTTCAAATTCTTAGCAAAACACAAAATGCATTATAGGGGACTGTGCAGAAAACAGTGCAGTACTTACTCGCAGCAGCTGAGTCACACTGGGATGGTGATCTTCCTCTGTGTGTTCTCTTTCATGGTCTTCAGCAGTTACTCCACACATCGTGGGCTCTTTCTTTACATTATCCAACCGATATAAAATGTGTTTAGAGTCAGAAGAGGAATCCATGGGCTCAATTCCATAGGTGATGTTCCCTATTGTCACCAAACCCCTAAAATATGGTCATGCGTGAGAAATTCTTGCACTAAGCACAGAGGAGTTACCCAGGTTTTCACAGGAAAACAAAGGAACAATTATTTTTCGATAACTAAAGGCATGTCTGTATCTCACAGTCCTTGCAAACCAGCATGCTTCACTTCGAGCCTGAAAGTGACCTTTCCCTGGATAGGGCCTTCACAAACACAGTCAATGAAACTTTTTTGTAGGAGTCTGCAACGCCCAAGAAATTAAGTCACAGGCCTTAAGCAGAAATGCTTTAGTTCAATCACTGTTGCCATGTTGGTATCTGACATGGCACTGCAAAAAAATCAAAGTCCCAAAAGACATGGAAATTAGCCCAAAGCAGAAAATGTTTTCAATCAAATTTGATGTGCACAAGCTTTAGGGCCAATTTTGTAAAATTTGCAGACTAGTGTTCGACTTTCTGTTTTTGCACGATGTGCCGTTCTGTAGTGAACATCTATCCAAACTAGAAAATAAGCCAAAATTTGTGTCAATGATGACCTGCTGTACTCCGATAGCAAATGGCAACTTATTTAATGGTATTTCAAGTATCTATTAACTGCACGAATAAAAGACACCACAGAAAGACTGCACAAAGGCACACGCTGCTGCAGCTCGGCCCTGGGCAATGAATCCCTGCCTGGCTGAGCAGGAGCTAAAAACAGAGCAGGAATTTTGTTTGGGGTTCAGCGAGCCGTGAGACTCACGTGACAAGGGGAACACAAAAGGCGAGCTGTGCTACCTGAGCCCCGAGCAAGTGCTGACAGCAACCACAGAATCCAGGGTCCCCTCCACGTATCCCTGGTACTGGCAGTGATCCTACATGGGAAAACAAGGGCGCGTTACACACACATTCCGTGCACATCCACATGTCCAGAGTGATCTCGGATCATGCAACTGCTGTACCTGCCACTGACCGGCAGCAGTTACAACTTGAGAACATGATATGCTTTGAGTTAAACTTACCGCACGCCTTTTATCTACAGTCTGTAACTTCTAACATGCTTCTAGCTCTACCACAACGTAACAAACAGCGTTTCCTTTGCTAACATGCATCTAAAAATCTCCTCACCTGCCTTAGTGCCACAAGGACTTACACATAAGCAGCTAATCAAGATGTCAGGAGCACAGGACTACAGCTGGATCCTTACCTCCCTATCCTGTAAAGGAGAAGCTCTTCACAACTCGATGGGGCCAGCAGTTCATCACAGATTTCAGTTTTAAATCCCACTCATCCACTCAGTTACTCTACCTGGAGCCAGGTCCAGAGCTGGTGCTGCTAACATGTCACAAATACCAGGCAAGCAGGGCCCAGAAGCTTTATCTAGCAACTGGATTTCTTAACTTGACCATAAGCCATCCTACTCTTAAGTTCTGTCCTCCACCCTGCCTCAAATATTTTGAGGCCGATCCCTCCCTATGGATTTGGGCCAAATCACCATTCAGCCTCCTAGAAAACAGCCCTGCAGAACGTCTGACTCCTACGTAACCTTTCTCCAGCAAGAAGATGGCCAACGCCTGCTATCCTCACCAACAAGCACTGCGCTGCCAGAACCTTCTGGTTGCGCAGTACATCCCTCATCAGCCCTGACGAGACAGATGCTTCCATTTGGTCCTCTGTATATACACATTTTGGAAACTAGACAAAGACAAAGTGGTGGTATGGGACAAATACACTCCATTTTCTCTGGCAAGTGCATTTTTCACCGTTACTATAGGGGTCACGTAGATCATGTCGCCTGTTGTTTCAGCAACGAATGCAGAAAGCACTGAAAGTATGTGCCAATCCTTTGGGGCCACTGAGACTTTCATGACCTTGCACAGAAAAAGCATTTTTCTTCTTAGTCAATCACTTTTAACTAGGAAGTAAACACTCATTTGACTCAGGTACTCTATTTTCAAAAGGGATCCTATGAATCATATATGACTAACATTTCCCTTTCAAAGGAACAACGTTGATACATAAGAAGAGTGAAGCCATTAGAAAAACTCTCATGCTTTTTGTATCACATAAGCTGCTTTTTACTCTTATTCTACAGAAGCCATTAAATTTTCAAAGGCAACCTATAAGGCAGCCTGCTTGTACAGAAAAAGAGGGCTGTAATGGCTTTTCAGTGGAATAACTCCAATGTTATGTAGATAACATCCTTCTCAAAGGCCCTCCGGACTTGATCTCACCCACCCCTTCTAGTAGTTCCCAAATTTCTGGACTAACAGACCTCCTGTCAACCCTCAAAAATTCTTAAGAGTCCCTAACAGATGGCCTCATGCAACTGAAAAGACAGGTCAGCAGCTGACCATTCACTTTGACTTGCAGATCAATCTGGAAGACCATTGTGTGTGACAGTAAAAGCTGTACGTATCCAGTCACTAGAGCACCCCGGTTCTGCTCTGTGTGTTCTGGTCCCCATGAGACACAAGCCCTGTGTCCAGAAGTGCTACAACACTGCGCTGTGATGCACAGCAAGGGCAGCACCCCTCCCGGATAACGAGGTATCTGACAGCTAAGAAGAGCAATTCCTTTTTAGAGAAGAGTAGGTTTTAATTAGACTGCAATCACCTCCACATAAAGAAAATAGGGTTCTACTACAAGCTCCAGGCTACAGCCTCATCCAAAATCAAAGCTTCTCTCCAGAAAGAGTGCAGCGTGTGCACTGGATTACAAGGTGGCCCAGTGAAAAAACACAACTATCATTTTGCAACATTACTCCCTCATCCTGTAGTTGCTCAGTATTCAAGTCACCTGCACTCGAAGTATAAAAAGATTAAGAAATCCTACCTGGATATCTGGATGTTCATATTGCAACTTCCCCTCCTTATTGTAAGTATAAACTGTGAAATCTTTGGGCAGCAGTTCTCTGTGACGAAAGGGGAGAAGGAATACAAGAGGAATTTAATGAAATGACTATGATACTATATAGCAGGGCAGCGAGATGATTCTAATCAAAAGTGTCACAAATACGTAAATTGCAATTAAAGAAGGAAATATTCAAAAGGAAAAGCCCCAAAAATTAACACAGAAATTGTGCGTTTCCACAGCAAAATCCAAGACATCAAAATCAAATCAACCACCTCATCCCAGATAAGTAGAACAAGCATCAAAACCCATTAAATTGTGCTAAAAGCTTGCTTTCATGCTGAGGAAAAAAAAAATGTCACAGCACTGAGTCTGCTGTATGAGACTCCTCTTCCCCAGCTTTAGAAGGAAGTGCATTGGGAAAGTCTCCCACGACTGAGACCAAGTCTGCTGACTAAGTCTTAGCAGACTAAGTCTGCTGACCCATACTGGTAAATCCCTTGATACGGCGTAGCTGAATTCCCTTGTTTCTGAGGGCCAGAGGCTTGGTGAGGGGCAGCTAGAGATCCCCAGGGGCTTCTACACATAAATAGTTGTGTCTTTTGTCTACACTTTTAAGAAGCAATAGTCTGATAAACTGTAACTTGCTGCTGCTGCAAGCAGCCCTTTAAAAATTAAACTAAAGACAGACAACATCTGTAATGTCTGTAAGCTACAGATATTAAGGTCCTGGATATAAAGTCAGCTTCCTCTTTTATTAGCATTCTTGTTCTATTGAGACAGGAAAAAAAACACCCTGAAACAATAAACAAAACCCAGAAGAAAGTGAAAATATTTACTTGAAATATAGTTCAGTTTGTTTATTTTTAGATGTGAATGGAGAGAGTCATGTCAATGATTCCCCAGATTCCCTTCGAGCCACCTACTGCTTCCTTCACCAAAGGGGATCACCAGGGGTGCCGGAGTTCAACAAAATTTCTGGCTGATAACCAAGACTGTGTGACTGAATCCACTTTCGCTTTCTCTGCACATTTGGCAGAGCTGGCATGGAAGTGCACTTCTCATACAGAATCTCAAGAACTGGAACTCACATAACACCTGCCAGCTCATTATTTGGAAACAATAAATGCAATTTAATAATCTAAAGAAATTAATCACTTACTTGTTCTTTTCTAGATGAATTGTGTATTCTTTTCCCTCTATCTCAATAGCATACGACACCTTGTCCTGAATAGAAAAAAAGTCGCATTTTACTCATGTTAATGAATAAAACATTCTTTGAACTCAACAGAAGTTTGGCAGAAAAAAGCCTCTGTTTGCTCCAGTATTGCTATGACCGGAGCGTTCAGACCACTACTGTCACCTTCCATAACTCAGGACTAGTCTGCATTGTTACCCTTTCTAGATATAGCTGTGGCTCCTGGAGATGCAGCTCACACCAACGAAATGCAAACACCTCCTCGAGGGATGCAGAACTCTGTCCAGCTGAGCTGCCGACCCCATCGCGCTCCTTGCTGGTGCCCAACACCAGTGAGGGGAACAGGTCCTCCTGGTGCTCAGCCCACTTCGCTGAGCCCGCAAGACTTCTCGCTGCGAAGCTGACCGCAGCCAGCAGGATTTGCTCTGGTTCCCTGACATCCAGCAGACAAAATGACTGCCACGTCCGCACACTGAAATGGCCAGATACTGAGCTAATCAACTTTCCTTCTCAAAGCGTGGTAGTTGCACCAGACCAGGAATAAACCCGTGTGGGTGAGCCTGAAACCTATTTTATACTTGTCTCTACCTCCGGAACCTGGCATCCCTTCCTGTGTAACTGGGGAAAAGTCACTTGCAGGAAGCTACTTCGAAATAGCTTTGTGGCTTTCTTTTTCCTTGTTTCTAAGACTTCCACCGAAAACCTCTTAGTTACAGCTGGGAAAGGACAATACAGTTTTATTACTGACCGTTCACAGTCAGCCAAGTGCTGCACACAGCAACTGGGGTCCTTAAATACCACGTGGACAAGCTGCATCGCCTGACCACTGCGTTACGTATCACAGCAGGGGTACTGGTCAACCACTGCAACAAACCGCGAAGCAGTTTTGTTAATATTAAATTCTGCCGATGTTTGTAAGATTTGTGACTAAATACAGTTGGTCTGATGCAAATGCTCGAAGTGTGCAGTCTTCAGTTACGCAGCTACAGCAGAATATAGGCTGGCAAGTACCGCTGGAGGTCGTCTAATCCGAGCCCCTGCTCAAAGCAGGGCCAGCTACAGAGTAGGTCCAGGCTGCTCAGGGCCTCCTCCGGTCAGATTTTGACCATCTCCCAGGATAACAATTCCAACACTTCTCCAAACTTCATTTCAGTGCTTAACAACTTCTACACCCAGACCAAAAATCCATTGCAGCCACTTGTAACCCCTGGAGCAGGGAGGTATTTACAGTACCTCAGCTAAGGGCTGTGTTAGATGAATATCTTTTGTAAGGATGGACGCTTGTTTGCTGCTCCATCAATCCCACAGTGTTTTGTGAGAATTTCAGGTCAGTTTTGGGTAGACCTTGTTAGGAAGCAGATGCTAAACTGAAGGGATTTTTAAGACTGCCCCGTACCTGTAGTGAGGAGACATCGGAAGCCTCTCGCCGTTCTCTTCCTAACCTCTGCGGGATTACAACTTCATAGGAAGACAACAGAGAAACCTGCTGGAAACCTAGAAAGCAGAACAGAAACGCTGGCTAAAGAAACAACACAATCA